GTCACTCCGTCAAGAATGCTGACAGCCAAGAAGGTGACGATGAGAACTATCAGGATTTTTCTGGATCGCTGATACATGGGCATACAAACCGAGTGGATTATGATGACTTGCAGCATGTTTCAGTTAAGTCAAAACCGCTGAGGTCTCGCAAGTTGCCAAGCTTACCCCCACAGCATTGCATATGCCACATTAAACTGTCCAATCCGATACCATGTACGAAATTAAGCCTGACGAATCCAATGAGTGACCAGCCTCAGGTAGCACAACAGACTTACATCTGTGGCAGTATAGCACGACAGTCGTTAGTGAACCAATAATTTGGTAAAGAACCACACCCACTCCTACAGGGCACCCCAGTTTAATTAGAGAGGAATGGCAGTTATGCACAAGACTCACTGTATCTGACAGCAAGATGGTCGGAACATTCCCTGAATGCCAATTGGTCAGACGAAGCAAAGACAACGAATGTACTGAGACATACACAACATGTACATGCTGATTATGAGATAGACAGTTAGCATGACAACCGATTGTGTAGCCTTCCGAACATACGCAGTGTATAAGATTCCAAGGTAGACGCACCTAAAATACTTTCAAGTCAGCACAACATGTCAACCGTGACGAATAAGGTACATACAGCGAGATACAGAACTGTCATTAGGGACCAACGTTGTCTCTGGAATCAAATGTATTTTCGTGTGTGTTTCCTCTGAAACCAGACTCTACTCACCAGATCAGTTCCACCTATAAAACCATTGTCAGCGAGATGGCTGCTTCCGGTCGTAGCATCGACATACCTCTTGTCCAAATGTGAGTGCTGAAAGTACTTGTAAGAAATCGGCAGTCCTTGGATATCATCATGCTCACCCCAATCATATGTCATTCCAACGAAGGCGGCAACTGCAAGGCAGCAGTAGAAGTTAGATTGAAATGTTGGCAGCATCAAATGCGACTGCTCTCTACGAACCTATAAATAGCTCAAAGTACGATGTGCATTGATGATCGGCCACCAAGCGGGATCATCTGAGACTATAGTCATATCGGTAGAGAATTGGGTGTGGAAGAGAAGCAAACTTGGTAGATTAGTATGACAATAACATTCGCACTATATAGTGCGAAACGAGATAAAGGGGTGATATCTGTGCAATCCACGTAGATGAGGCAGTTGTATGATCATCAGGCTGTCGTACCGTAAGGATGCTAGTACTTGTGCAAAATCTTCAATTTGCAATGTGGATATGAAAGTCGTAACGTTCACTCCATTTGATGCCGAGTTTTTGTATTCCTTATATAGTCAGCTCGGGACCATGCCTATCGGAGTGCCAACTCTTCGCAAGCAGACGAGTATGAGATTGTGAGGTACGACCACTTGTTAATAAATGAGGACAACTCGAAGAAAGGCAAGCTTGGGCTACACACCTTTTACACGTGCACCAGCGAAAGGCTCAGTACTAGTTGTTAGCAAACAATACTGAGGCGTTGACATGGGGCACGACAGTATCGCTTAGTAGCTAAGCGCTAATTACCGGCCCATCCAGAGTGACTCACATGTGTGCGAGCGCCGAGAAGTCAAAAAGTAAGTGGAACGTGCTGCATCAAAGGTGCAAGATAATGACCATAGCACTGGTGATGCTATCATGATGTACGATGAATCAGTCATAGCACTGAAATTCTTGCGAAGACGTGAAATGAGGCACAGGTTGTCATAGCAGTGAGGAAAGAACCGTTAATAAGAGAGAAAACTGCGAGAGCGCAGCAACCCAGCATGGATAACGATAAGCATGTAGAAGGGTAACTTGAAAACTTATCTGAGTTCCGGATCAGTGTCAGGTAAAATTGCAAAGGCCCTGAAATATTCATAATTATTCGTACTGGCGGGGAATCACTCGAAGCCGCTCGACTTAGACCCGGCCAGACACACCATCTAACAGGCCAGACAACGGACGAGCCTTGGCAGGTGAGCGCTTCCGCTTGATCCTGTTGTCCTGTTTGAAAGCATCTCTATTGCGATGCGTCGTGCACTAGGCTCATCACCCGGCTCTCCATGATGGCGTTGCCTTGGTGGTCGGTGAAGAGGTGAATTTAAAGATAGCCTGACAGGACTTCTCATGCGTCTAGCATGAACGAAATCTTGAGTACAGGGTATATCGCAGCCTATTGAGCACTTTTTATCTCAGCACCGACGCCTCTGAGCTGTCCTCGGAATGCCAGCCAAGGAGGTTTATGGAGGTCCGAGAAGAAATTCCATGTACTGATAGACACGTTCACTCAGGCACGCACTCACTGCAAAGAACTGAGCAAGCCGATCACTGCTCTGACTGTCGTCCACGGACCTGGTGGTTGTTGCAAAGTAATACAAACATGAACCGTAAGATAAAGGTCGAGGCGCTTATCTTCTATGAGTGGTATGGGGTGCATGACTCGAGGAGTGTGCCGGTGACAAGACTGATGTGTTCGCGTGAACCACAGAGAGACGAAGTTCCTGTGAAATATTCACGAGCAGTTAGTCGCATATCAGGCTTGCAGTGAGGTTGCAGATTAATTCTAAGTTGATTTTTTTGATAGAAACCGAGGCGCAAGGGAACAGGGCGTGTGCAATGGCGATCAGAAACTGTCGGAAGGGCATCGAATATTGAAGTACAGCTAGGTGGGAACGGGCCCGTGAATGCATGCGACCGTTTTGTCACTGTACAGGTGCACTATGATTGAAGCTGACAACGTCTTATTGCATTCTGGTAGGCAGAATAAAAATAAATATTGGTGAGACGAAGTGTTCGATCCTGGAGGAGTCCAGTTCAACTTCTGGAGCTAACGTCGGGGTTCGAATTCATATAGCCTTGTCATTATTCGTGCCCCGATCAACTCGTTATCGACTAGCGGCTCTCGAACGAGTTATGCTTGAAATCCACTTCACAACTGGTGACTGTCATCTCTAGAACCTAGATTACAAACAACGAGAACGCACTGGCAGAAAAGAAGGCACAAGCATCGCCCTTATACCCGCAGGAAGCCTTCAAATAATAAAAAGGCTCATGCAATGAAACAACGATGATGATATTCTCGTGAGCGCTGGTCAGCTGAGTATCAACTGTTGGCACGCCATCAAAGTCAGAGATGAAAAAGTAACGGTCACCTCAGGCTGCCCAATGCACACCTCAGGACTCAAGCTTACTACCGTCTGTTTTCCGCGATCAACGCCACTCGACTCGTCCGTATTTATATAATAAGCCAGGCTGGTCCTGAGCCGATGCTGTCTTGTGAATTGTCAGTCTTCGTGCTTCGCCTGTCAAGCTTTCAAGATCGATCAGACTGGAGTCTAGTTCACGATGAGGCTACTCGTCTGATATATTCTTGTTCCCAAATGCCCATGCCCGCTTTATCATAAACCAGCATTGTATGTTATTCACACGGTCCACACCCGGGTACGCTAACATTCGAATCGAAGTAAGTACTTAGTCCTTAACGTTATTAACCATGGCATCCCACTCTTTCAAAGCCTAACCAAGGCCACCTGATGAAATCGTACAGCCGATCTACTTTTGTTCACATCTACATTCACGGTGAGTGTCCCGTCCTTTTTCGATTGTTTTTCGCTAAGCAAGCCCATACTACAGAACCGGCTTTGTATAATCTGTTAGCATGCAAGGACTCTAATGCCACAAGAATTTTCAAGTCTCGACTCTTGATCGTCAATCGGAGTTCTGAGATGTCGGTGTAGTTTCCGGCGTCGTTATAGTAGCTTGTTTTCAATTTCGCGATGTATGAAGGAGAACCCGGGGACATGTAGGTCGAGCGAAGGAAGGTTCCGAGCTGGTGAGACTCGGCCTGTGGTAAGGCTGCATCAGCTAGGGAAGTTACGGGTTGCGTAGTATCAGGGACTTACAGCACCAAGGGCAGTGCTTTCGGTGTAGGAGCTCTCGTAGGTCTTAGGGTCTTGGTAGTACTCTGTGCGGTCACCATTACGGGCAATGACAAGAACACCAAGAACGTCAGTCATGTTGGTATTGAAGGTAGATAGGCGGTGAGGGTTGAAGAGCTAGAGAGGAGCGTTGTTCTGTTGAGACAGTTGGAATCCTCGTCCTTAAATCATGGTAGAAGCCAGCCACTGCGCTTGAACGCCTTGCACTTGTGTGAGCGACGAGTCTAGATCACATTAGGTGAGCAAGGAGAAGGCCTGGAAAACGCAAGGAGGAAACAGCACGGAGCCAATACATAGAAGCTCGCGGAGATCATGGCCATTCTGTAAATTAAAAAGTACGTGCGTACACTCGCTTCCTGACGGCAGGGCCGGAGTGAGCAAGCTCAAAACTCAAAAAAGTTCTCCTATGCGGGTAAAGAGGTTTCATGACCTCAGCCAGGCTATACTGTTAAAATTAAGCATAATACTCACTGACTAGAAACGGTATGGTTTTGTAAGTTTGTTTGTAAACTATCAATCCCCTACAATTAAGCTTAACGGCTTCTGATTCCTTTGGTGATTCTCAGGCTTCCAAGAATAGCACTACCATCGGAAAAATCACCAAATTAGGATATTCCAATAATCTCACTATTCCCACATACCTCCCTGGCTCTACTGCTGCACCAGAGCTTTCCCCTTGCTCACTCATGTATATAAGTAGTAGAATGGCATGTACATACATAAAATGATACAATAGACCGCTTTTTTCATTGTCTGAGAGCTTGTACAGCAGTCTACAGTGCTGACTACAATATGTGCATCTGTCATGAACACTGTCTGCTGACTTTCGATCACTTTTCCTTTTGCGTAGTACCAGTACTTACACATTTGTCGTTTCGGCTTTCTCTCCTTTCTCAGTTTCGTGCTCGTCTATTTTGATAGGTATAACCTACGTTCCTGTATTTCTATATTCTAACGTTGTCTATTTTGATAGTCGTTGTGGTTGTTGCTTGGCGTCTCGCTGTAGGGATTCATTTCTGGCTGGGCTTGTAGAGACTGTTTTTACCTTAGTGTTATGTTTGCACTTTTTGTAGCTTACATAATCAAGTTATCTTTTCACCAGTTACCAGTATGAGTCTGAGTACTCAGCAAGTTTTCATGATATTTCCTCTTCTCTGAGCCTTGAGCCTGGTCCAGAAACCCTTTAGGGTCGAATAGCAGCTAGGTTCTGCAAGACCCAACATTGTTCTGACTCACCATCTGAATTGTTGTACCTTCATCGCCTCGGCTCTTCTCTCTTCTGATAGAAGCACGAAACTGCTCTTACCGACCCGAGACCTCTTTCTAACGTCAATCACATATTCTCCGTCACTGTTTAAACCAAACACTCGAACGCCTTCTCCAATCTCGGAGACCTCTAATCCTTCTACACATTCAACCAACTCCTTCCCTGAAATACCTCAACCTCGACTTTCAATTTCTGTTCAACCTCCTTTTCAAGCCCCTAAACCATCACCGCACTCTACCATGTCCACTTCCGGCTCAAAATCCGATAAGATGCTCTTGTCTCGCCCTGATGACTTCAGTGGTGTTAAGGGCACTGTTTCTTTCAAAACATGGTGGCGACAGGTCCGCGTGGATGTTCGAAGCAGGAGCCAAAGATTTTCACAGATGATAAAAAGAAGGTTTTATTTGCCACATCTTGCATGAAGGGAGGTAGTGCTGGTCTTTGGGCTGACAACTACACCGAAGAACAGTTTTCCTTACCTTCCGCTCAACGCTGGAGTTTCGTTGATTTCGAGGCCACTCTGAAGGCTTCATTCGATGATGCTAATGCTAAGCGCGAGGCTCAACGTCAACTTGAGCTTTTAAAACAGGGTAGCTTAACCGCGGAAGAGTTCTTTGTTCAATTCGATCAACTCGCTCGAACAGCAGGATGGTCTGCAGGGAGTGATGATCATTTGAATCTTCTCCTTGAGCGAGCTCTCAATTCTCACCTCGTGGACCGTATCTGGGAAAGTTCTGATACTATCAAGGCCGGAACCTTCACAGCCTGGAAGGCAAAGGCAATTGAACAAGACCAACTCTATTGTCAACGTGAGGCTTGTCGTCAGCGTCCCCATTTGCCTGTTCCTCCTCCGCCCCGAGCAAACTCTACTCAAACTCCGCGCTCCACTTCCTCTCCCCAACAATCTTCTTCTACGACCCCTACTACAGGAACTTTCAGTGGCCAAGGTCTTCCTATGGACGTCGATGCTTGTCGTCGTCAAGGATTATGTTTCAAATGCGGCAGACATGGTCACTTAGCTAAAGACTGTCTTCAAGGAAAACCAGCAGTGATACGAGCGGTCCTTGAAGAACTGCCTGAAGAAGATAAGGAGGATATGAAGAAGTGGTTGGGTGAAAAGGGTTTTTAAGAGAGTCGGGAGGTGGCGTGCCCTCTCCGACCAATTCGAATTCTTCGTTTTCTCTACCTTGTAACTTCCAGTATGCAAACACGAAACCTTATGTTGAAGAGATTGAAGACGAGGACTCGAAACAAGCGCACGTCGAGCCGAAGGAAGGGAGTGAAGCCCCGAACCTGAAGCTCTTACCTGAAGGGAAAGGCATTCCTCTGGAACGTGGAAGTGGTAGATCCGAAGGTGAAGCTGCTGTCAGTAACCTGAGGGGACCCCACGATGCCGAAGTACCTACAGCAAGACTACGACCCTGGTCCGCTATTTGGTATGCTCAACGTTTTCGGGACCAACCATTTGAGAAAGCTATGGGCTTACTTCGAATGTTGGTTCACCAAAAACGCCATCTCGAAGCCACCCCAGAAGTTCTCAAAGAGCTTAATACACTTTCACTTGAGGAAGCCTCAGAAGCGATCAACGAACTTAGTACTCCCAAACGTTATATCCGAGGAACGGGAAATTCGTTGACCTTAAGCGCAATACTAAATACTCTTGATGACCGTCGAGGTTTTAGTGTGAATGCACTTGTTGATAGTGGGTGCACAGGCTCCTCGATTGATGCTGGTTTCGTAGCAGCCAAAGGAATAAACATGCAGAAGCTGGCCCGTCCAATTCCCGTTTACAATGCCGATGGAACTCTCAATGCAGGAGGTGTGATCACAGACTATGTCACCCTTCAGTTAAAGATTGAAGACCATGTTGAACGTCTCACTTTGGGAGTTACGGATCTCGGAAAGGGAGAACTATTCATTGGACATGAGTGGCTTAAACATCATAATCCCTCTATTGATTGGGCAGCCGGCACACTCAACTTTGATCGTTGCCCTAAGACTTGTTCATACGCTCAACATTTATTTGGGCCTGAGCAAACAGAGGAGGACGAGAAGTTGAACTGTGTGAATAGCAATCCAGAGTTAACCCTAGGTGAGGGAGAGAGACTGTTTGCTTTCGATTTCGATGGCTACATGAAAGGAGGGACTTTACATATTAAAGCTCACACTACAACATCTCAACAATTAGCCGAAGAAGCATCCAGAAAAAAGACTGAGAAGACATTCGAAGAGATGGTTCCGACCTCGTACCATGACTTTAAAGACATCTTTAAAAAGGAGTCCTTTGACGAGCTCCCGCCACGAAAACCTTGGGACCATGCAATTGAATTAGTCCCTGGGGAGCATGCCATCGATTGTAAGGTCTATAATCTCAGTCCGGAGGAACAACGAGAACTTGACGCGTTTCTCGAAGAGAATCTTCATTCTGGCAGAATCCGTTCGTCGAAGTCCCCATTTGCATCCGCATTCTTCTTCGTAAAAAAGAAAGATGGGAAACTTCGGCCAGTACAGGATTATCGAAAGCTTAATGCATGCACTGTGAAAAATCAGTATCCTCTTCCTCTCATCCAGGAACTCGTCCATAAGCTCAAGGGTGCCCGGTATTTTACTAAACTGGACATCCGCTGGGGGTACAACAATGTATGAGTTAAAGAGGGCGACGAATGGAAAGCAGCTTTTCGTACAAACTGAGGATTATTTGAGCCACTAGTAATGTTCTTTGGCTTGACTAACTCCCCGGCTACGTTTCAGACGATGATGAACGACATCTTTCGAGATCTTATCAGTGATGGAAAGGTGGTTATCTATTTAGATGACATACTGATCTTCACGAAGACTCGGGAAGAGCACCAACATATTGTACGCCGCATCCTCCAACTCCTTCGCAAGAATAAGCTCTACCTCAAACCCGAAAAGTGCGAATTCGAAGTGAGTGAGATCGAGTACTTGGGTCTCGTCATTTCAGAGGGTCAAGTCAAGATGGACCCTGTTAAAGTTAAGGGAATCATGGACTGGCCTGTACCTACCGTGAAACATGAACTACAAGCGTTTCTCGGGTTCATTAACTTTTATCGGAGGTTTATTCGAGGTTATGGAGATCTTGCGAAGCCTTTAACGAGCTTGACGGGAAACGTAGATTGGTCCTGGGGAGATCAACAACAGGAGGCATTTGACACAATCAAGAAACATATATCTTCTGCCCCTGTTCTTGGCATCCCGACCAATGAAGATCCTTATCATGTTGAGGCTGACAGTTCAGGAAAGCTATTGGGGCTGTGCTCTCGCAATGTCAAGAGGGCGTTTGGAAGCCCATTGCTTTCCTATCAAAAGCATTAAATGAAACTGAGCGGAACTACGAGATTTATGATCGTGAGCTGCTTGCAATCATGACTGCGCTTGCAGAATGGCGGCATCACCTCATGGGAGCAGTAAACGACTTCGAAGTATGGACAGACCATCAGAACCTCGCGTATTTCCGCAAGCCTCAGAAATTGAATCGTCGGCAAGCCCGGTGGGTGACAGAGCTGTCAAACTATCATTTCAGTCTGCATCATAAACCCGGAAAGACCAATCAACGAGCAGACCTTCTATCGAGACGATCAGATCATCAGGCGGGGGAGAATGACAATGAAGATATTGTTGTTCTTACGCCTGAAATGTTCCGTCAAGTAGAGCTCAAGACTGTAGACGAGGACTTCCTCACACGTGCTCGTCGTCGTCACTCTAATCAAGATGCAGTCATCACTAAAATGCTCGCCTTGAAGGACAAAGACTGGTCAGACTCAGATGGTCTCATCACCTGGAAGGGTCGAGTCTATATTCCTATAGATCGTAAGCTTCGAGAAGACATCATTCGGGAACATCATGACTCCACTTTAGCGGGTCATCCAGGGAGATACAAGACTCACGAGTTGATTACTCGTGACTATTGGTGGCCGTGTATCTTATTTGACATTCGGCGCTATATTGATGGTTGTGAGAGCTGCCAACGCACCAAACCAAGGAACACTCAACCTGCTGCCCCCCTACACCCGAATGAGATCCCCACACAGCCTTGGGAACATATATCTGTAGACATTATCGGTCCGCTTCCGGAGTCAGTAGGTAACAATGCAATCCTTGTCGTTGTCGACCGATTCTTGAAGATGATCAAAGTGGTGCCGACGAACACAGAAGTCACATCCCTAGGAGTTGCCCAAATCTTCCGGGATCACATATTCCGAAGCTATGGTCTGCCTCGTAAGGTCATTAGTGACTGAGGCTCAAACTTCATATCTGTCTTCACATGCAATCTCTACCAACTTCTCAATATCCAGAGCAATGCGAGCACAGCCTACCACCCACAGACAGATGGTCAAACTGAACGAATCAACCAAGAGATAGAACATTACCTACGTGTCTTCTCCAATTACCATCAAACAGATTGGTCTGAGTGGCTTCTGTTACAGGGATCTGTAACACCTACTAGAGCCCCAGCTCTCCCTACGCCTGCCCCCGCTCTGCTAGACTCCCCGCGCGGCGGTGCGCCGCCTGCGCCTAGAAAGACAGCGGTCTGGACCGCTATGACCCCACCCCCTGGCGCTATGACCCCGCCCCTGGCCTAGACGGCCTTGTACCTGTTCCATGAAGGCTGTACGCCTCATGGACACCCTAGATCAGCGCATGTATACCACATGTCGCTTCATGAAGATCCGGAGCGCTTCTATGCGCCTCCTGTTGATTGCGCAGTTGCACTTGGCGCTGCATGTATGATCAGAGGTTAAGCCTCATGTACCTTATCTAACCTCATGTCTAGTTATCTTAGATCACAGATATACTATAGATTATAGACTGAGCTTGAACGGTTACATACACTATGTATAAGTAGACACATTGTTGTAGATTATACTTCACTTTAATCTACTAGGTTCATCCCCAGAACTTGCTCATCTAAGCCTTAACAAGCTTCCTTGTGTGAGACCGCACTTCTAAGTCGCCCCCATACGACTTAGCACGTATCCGCTAGCCCTGCATCTCGACGAGCGCCGTCTTACCGAGATCGCTGGAGGAATCCTTGACGTTCCGTCAAGGCTAGACCACGCTCAGCTTCAGTAGACTCACTCGAGTCGTCGCTGAGAAGACCTATCCTAGTTCGCACACGCCGACCTACAGTCGACGTAACACTTCCTCTTGCCGAGTTTGCATATAACGATAAGGTCCAGTCCTCGACCGGTCATTCACCATTCTTTGTTAACTATGGCTATCACCCGCGGAAAGGAACTGGATTTTGTCGAGAAGTCAAGGCAGAGGCAGCAAAAGATTTTGCAGAGCGGATGCGAAGGACACGAGAGGAAGCGGAATCAGCGCTCAAACGAGCTGCTGAAGATATGAAACGATTCTATGACTGGAAATGGAGTGAGTCACATGACTTCAAAGTTGGAGATCAAGTATGGTTAGAAGCTACTCACATTTCATCTGATCGACCCGCCAAAAAGCTTGATGACAAACACTTCGGTCCCTTCAAGATTCTAGAAAAACATGGAGCTTCTGCATATAAGCTCGCTCTTCCTGGAACTTGGAAATCTATTCACCCGGTCTTCAATGAATGCGTCTTATCCCCATTCACGCCTGCCGAATTTCCTTCCCAGAGAAAACCGCCTCCACCACCGCCCGTACTAGTCGAAGGTTACGAGGAACAAGAAGTCGAGGAGATTTTAGACTCCCGACTTCGCCGAGAGAAGTTAGAGTATCTCGTGCATTGGAAGGGTTACCCTCGTGAAGAACGGGAGTGGTTGTCGGCCTCCGAACTTAGAAACGCTCCTCAAGCCATTGCCGATTTTCACCACAAACATCCTGCAGCACCACGTCCTATGCCAACAATGAGATTGCGTTTCCAAGCGCTCGAGAACCTAACTGTACCAACATGAGTTCCACATCAGCTGTTCAATTGGGAGGACGGAACATTTGAACGGGACCTTCATTGGTCGCAGGACGCGACCATTTGACGAGGGGGTATTGTCATGAACACTGTCTGCTGACTTTCGATCACTTTTCCTTTTTCGTAGTACCAGTACTTACACATTTGTCGTTTCGGCTTTCTCTCCTTTCTCAGTTTCGTGCTCGTCTATTTTGATAGGTATAACCTACGTTCCTGTATTTCTATATTCTAACGTTGTCTATTTTGATAGTCGTTGTGGTTGTTGCTTGGCGTCTCGCCTCGGCTCTTCTCTCTTCTGATAGCATCCCAGGACTAAAACATATTCGCTTTTTTGCCCCTTTAGCAGGGAAGAAATTCTGGCTGTATATATCATATATTAGAGTGTTAATGAATATATTACACCGCTTGTTTGAGCCTCTGTAGTGTCCTACATCAGTAGATATGTTAAATTCATGAATACCTCTCAAAAAACATAAACCAGTTCGCATTTTTTAGTGTTTAGGTATATAGACTGGTGAATATTATTTCTAACATCTCTTTACTAGTATATACATCATATCAAGAGTATAGGTCAGTAGGATCAGTCCCTAGGGTGATATGTATTGTCATCTTCCTGGTGGTTCACTCCCTGAGAAATTTTTTCCTGCAGCTCCGGCCCTCTAGGATGGTAGGTAGTCTTTTACTATAAACATATGGAATATATTCATCACATAGGTATACCAGAACAATACCAGGATCCTTGTCTACAATCCAAAGTCACTTCCTGCCTACAATGTACCATATTTTCGCATTTTTGAGGTTTTTCACTACATAGACTATACCAGCTGTTCATATATCACTTATAGTACATATATGAAGCCCTCCCAAGGCCAGGATCAGGTAGAAATATGTCAGAGTGGCCCGTTGACTGGATATTCTAATTTTTCACATTTTTTCACTGCGAAAACATTATTCACACTGTTGATAAATATTTTTCAACCGGTTAATAACTATTAGTTGAAAATTGTTTAAAACACCTGTTGATAAATGGTCTGAGGCAGTCTGTTTATAAACAGCTGTCGAAAAGTCGCGGGGATTTTTCAACCATACCCTAAGTTAGACATGGTTAAGTATCACCCTGCCATGAACAGGTGCCTCAGCGTAGATAATGTGCTTTTTCGGGGCAATAGCCATGTGAGGATCATGGATAGGTCAGCCTTAGGGGTGATTGATTCTGATGGGGCGCAAGCCAAATGAAACTCCATTTACTGTTTTGGGTAGAGCATGACGGACAGCCTGTAACATGATCTCGAGGCATGTCGTATTTGCAGTGAATGGGTAGAAAACTCGGGTAGTTGCCCCTTATTGATGTGACCGGGATTAAGAGCAGATTGCGCTGTATGTCACAAATGCAATCTGAATTGGTAGAAAGGACCCAGGTCAAAAAATGTTGTATGGTTAGCTTTTTCCATTGCGAGCCAAACATCCAAAATACTAGAGATGGGGTATATTGTGCGGAAGATTCATGTTTGATGTTGAGAAGATGGAGGTGAGATCAAGTCTCATCAAGATGTCTGGTACAGCGTAGGGCAGCATCAATTTAATCAGGATGGCTTAGTGGCATGCTGCAGAGGTTGCGTACAAGAGAAAAGTTCTTGCCAAGTTTCACGCGCAAGATATTCTGGATCCGGGTGACCTCGTCTAGTGTTCACATGGGTGGTACAGTTGGATACTAGTAGAACCCGTCAAGTATGACTCCTCGGAACGCTCATGTTCAACCGTCTCCAAGAGGCGTGCCCTCGCAGCTCCTCGCAGCTTAATGGTTTCTGGTCCAAGTTGCTTCCAAGAGGCGTGTTGACCAGGGTGGGAGAGATGAAAAAAAATCAATATAGTAAGAATGGTCTCACCAAGGGTGATCCGTGTCTTGCAATCCAGCATGCTTCACGTGATCACGTGATACAACATTCAAATTTGTCGACGAGGACTCAGACCCAGTCAAAACCTGCTGTGACGGGAGAGGGCAGGATATGTTGAGATGCAACCCTGAGAAGAAAAACACATATGAACATATCCTTCCCTGCCTTGCCCTGTAGCCGGACAAAAAACATTAGCTGGGGCAGTGTCTCTGGCGCTCCTATGAGTCAAAAACATATACAGACATATTGTAGCACATTTATGTCCTTGACTTGTGAATATGCTCGAATAGTGTGAAATCTGCTGGTATTTCGTGATATCGTATCTATGACAGGTATTGTAATACACGATTCGAAAGCAGGTAGAAACCGGTAGGAAAAAGCACGAAAATGCGCTCAAAACATCCGATAATAGTGCAGAGGTGGGCCAGAGAGTGTACACAGATTGGAATGGGACCAATAGAAACATGTAGAGTCCAGACATCGGTGTCGAGGCAGATAGCAGCAGGATTGAGTGCGTCCAAGTCGATGATCAAGAACTAGTATACCAGGCCTTCACAAACACCTTTGGTCCAAGTGTTGTCGGCAACCTGCAGTGGCCCACTCAGAATAGTAACTGTAGCAACATCGTGGTCAGTGTTAGACGCACCAATTTAGCTGCTTCATCGTTGTACTTCTAAAAAAAAAGACTTGGTTAATCATAAGTAAATAAAGTGAAAGAAAATGACCTACCTTGTGCTGCTCTGGCGTCAAATTTGTGTAGTATGTGCAGAACTCCTCCATTGTCCCATTTGTCTTCAATTGCTTCAGCCAGCGCAGCGCACACAAGTTGCTACTCGGATGAACTGTTAGTAATGTGACTAATTAATGCACCATTTCTGAACGCACCATCTGTTTCTAGTGGGACTCGGGCGCATCTTTGCTTTGCCTCCGGTTTTTGTAGCCTTACTAGTTGAGGCCTTCGCAGAATCAGATGACGTGTTAGTGGGTGCAGACTCCAAGATGGGAGGAAGTGGAGAGAAGCTGATTTGCGCAGCAGCAGTTGCGAGTGCAGTACTATAAAACATTGAGAGTATTAAATAAAAACAATCTGGTAGATGGCTTACAGTGGATTCACGACTTTGATCGGCTTTGGCACGGGAATATTTGATGGATTCTCCTTGTCTTCGAGAGATCTTGTAGGAGAGCGATGGGCTGGCACTTGCTGTTTGAAAGGAGATTGTAGTACTGGGACAACTTCGGGCACAAGCACTGGAGGTGCAGCGATCTCGGGAGTGGCTTCCAGGTCTTTCTCCACAGCTTGAACTAGGTTCTGTGGTGGCTTGTGGTCGCATTGTGGTGGCTTGTGGTCGTGTTGTAGTGGCTCGTGATTGTGTTGTGGTGGCTCATGATTGTGTGGTGGTGGCTGTTGGTTGTGTTGTGGTGGCTGTTGGTCGCGTTGTGGTGGCTCCTGGTTGCATTGCAGTGATTGGCCTTCCAGGGACAGGGTTTGAAGAAGAGGGGATGAGGACACGCCGTTAGGTGGAGACAAGACTTCGCAAGTTGATGATGATGCTGGTGTCAGTGGTGGAATAACATTGGTTGCATCAACTGGTGTATAGTAGCATCGGCTTCAGAGAAGAAAAATATACGAAACAGCCAAAATGATGAACCTTTTATTTTCTTTGCGATGGCTTCAGATTTGAAGCGGTGTTGTCATTTCCTCCCTTTCGAAGAGCTTGGCTTTTTGTCATCACTATCATTGTCATTGTCGTTCTTCTTTGCTTTGCGGTAGTTGCCAAAGTCGTCCAGATGGTTTCGTTGCCATGAAGAATAAGATGATGTAGCAAGGAAGTCAAGTTTCCAGTTATTGTGAGCCAACTTAAAGATAGGATGCACATTGTCCATGATAGTATTCACCAACTGAGTTCCGGATGCTGAGAGTTTTCCCCAGGAGGATGGCGCTAGATTACGGGTGGCAAGCTCAGACCATGCCCCCCATAGTGACTTGCGGATAGCTTCAACCATGGCTTCTGATATTGAGTTGCCATTTTCATCCTCCAGGAATGGCAGTTTTCCGCGATCACCTGAAGTTGCCTCCACAGAATCCAACCAGTCGAGGTAGTCCACTTTGTTCCAGAAGCGGACCTTGGGATGTGTCTGAGCATTTGGGCGGTGGGAATCACTTGTTGGAGCAGAAGTGAATTTAGGGTTGAACTGAAGCGGGTCAGTGACAGGGATTTGTATAGCATTGGCGAGAATTTGAAAAGCAGCCCTGTCAGATCAGTGAGTCAGAGTCAGTCTAAACCAAATTAACAAAATGATACGTATGTGATGGTATCACGTTCAGCTGTAACTTTGAGAATTTGCATCTCCAGAGTCTTGCAGTGTTCACGCAAGGCCTGGAGCTGCTGATTATCATGCATATATGCACCCTATAATGTATCTTGTTAGTTCCCAGACTTGAAAAAATCATCAGAAATCAAAGCACCCGTTGAAACAGGGTCAGCATGGGTTGTGGGATCCTTGGATCGGTTATAAAAGGATCCCCGGAGTCAGGCAACGGCATATGACCTGAAGACAGGGGTGCTGATGATGGTGTATATTCCCCGAAATGCAGATTCCATGAAGGATAACCTGGAGTTTGATCTGAATTGAACATAGACATGCTGTGAAAATTTAAACTTCCAGTGTCACTGGAGAACATTCTGGCAGTGTGATGGAGGTATGAGACAAAACTTGCATGTACAGTAAGGCCAATGATATAATTGTAACTCCGCTTGAGGCACATAACTTTGGCACGTCGTGCCGCATCACATTCATTTAGAAACTCTCATCAGCTTTATTATGTCCTCGCCTACTGTCATTGATAAAATTAAGTGAACAAATCTGTATTCTACTACTCTACATCTACATCGTTGTCATTGTCATCCTCGTCAATGTGGTTGATCCCAGGTTTGAAATCTGTAATCCAGGCTTCTCTAACATGAAAAAGCACTCCTCGATAACACCAGAGGGCAGTTTGGGCATATGTGGAATCATTGCTACAACACTGATGATCTTCTTCACAGGAACAACACAGAGATCGTCAAGGTGAGAGCAGGAGGCTACTGTCTGTGAGGAGAGTTGGAGGAGGGTGTCGTCAGGAAGAGAGTACAGCTGGATGATTGCAACATCTGCAAAACGCCAATCTGCATCATCCAGAATGTTTGCTTCAACAGCCAACTGAGTGAAGTATAGAACTTCACCATATCATTCCTGCCCATGGTATTTTAGCTGCCGTACTATTGTATCAGTAGTGTATTTGGTATGAATTTAAGAAAACAAACCTTAACGTTGCGAGACACACAATTTGCTCGAGTGCTTTGAGATTCTCCCTCCATGCCGAACGTGCCACTTGGCCATTAGGTAGAAGGAGGCGAGCCCATCTTTTGATATGAGGGAGATCACGCTCATGTCCGAGAAAGTTAGAGATTGCTTGAGCAGGCTCTCCTGGTTGGCAACATAGCATATCTAGCATGTTTGCGAAGCAGTGCATATCCATCTCCTAAGTCAACAGCTCCAATCGGAAGACCTTTGGGAGGTTCATTGAGCTCAGGGCATAATGGACAGGAGGGTATTGACTTGACAGCGCTGCACACACCTTCTTTCGAAAGGTTAGCATAAGGGTTGGAGGGTTGCTGAATTTCTTGACCAAGGTTTCCAATTGTTCATTCCATGGTCCATTGAGCATAACATATCGGGGGACCTTTTCATATTGTCTCCGGTACAAGGTGACTCATCTGGTGAATGCATGGTCGAACAAATTGGAGTTGGTCCTCCTTGAGTTGATAATAGATCATCTTGAACTCGCGTTCCCATGTGCAAAGAAGGATATGGGTGTTTGTAAGATCTTCGGCAGTTATGGAGTGCTGGCACATCAACTGGAATCCCCGCACGAGCTTACAGTAGTTAGCCCAGTACAACTCAGGTAGGATACCATGAAGTAGGGTGGGGCCAAGTCCGAAGGTGTATACCTGGAATTCCCAGGTCTTGTAACCAGTGTTGAGCTTTTCAGCGATATTGCGAGGTTTTCGATCAAATGATCCTGGAAGATATGGCCCTGCCCACTCGACTTCTTTGCCATGGGTGTCCCAAACCTCTCCATCTTTGAGTACAGCCCAATCCCAAGTGTTGGTGTTGTTGCTTGGACCACAATCAATCGTGGCACGCCAGAGACCAAGTAATAGCTCGCTGAGATTGCCTGCAAGGTGCATGACATTGGTTGTCATGCAATGAGGGACTCCAAGACAGCGAGACGAATGAAGACTGAGAATTAATAGAGGCTTGGTAAGACCAGTCTCTGTCTTGCGAATCTCCCACTGACACTGATTCAGTGATGCAACAAGCCGACGCAAGTTGTCAGCATAACTGTCAGATCCTGAAGGTGGTAGGTTGGAGACGTCGATGTCACCATGGTCACTTCCTGCAACACATCGATCACGTGGCTTGAGGAGGGCAGGATAGTAGTGTGTTCCGCGAGTCTTTCGCCTGCCAGTTATTTCACAATACAAGCGACAGCCATTCTTCCCACTGTGCCCCACCATACCATCCCAATATACCAATCCGGGACCATCTGCAGTTGTGAATATGAGGTATAGATCTGATGCAAATACCATATCGTGAGACAAGTCCCAGATATGCAGTCCTTCCGTCTGAAGTGCTGTGAGATGGTGAAAACCAACGACAAGGAAAGAGTCGAGAATTTTTGGCTTGTTTGGTCCTGGGATGAAGCCACCTGGACGTATGTGGATTTTTCGATAACGCTTGTCTGGTGAGAGGTTTACGATAATCCAAACATACATCCAGCAATCTGAATTTTTGCTCTCATAGAGCTGTGCCCCATTGAGAGACACCATGAGAACAATATTGTTCTCTTTGATTTCTCCATCAGCGATGGCGCCAAGATAATCCCACCCCATAGCAATGTCGTCTATGATAGAAATCTTGCCAGTTGTCCGGAGCTCCTCAAGAACTTGTTGCGTACATTCATGAAGGTAACGCATGTTGTGAGCACTGTCTGGATGACGGTATAATGATTGCAGCTGGGGGCCTAAGGGTATAGTTGAAAACTTCTGCGCTGCGACCTTGACATGTCTGTTTGTTGAGTGTAGTCGTGCCTGATCCCAACGAGGTGCATCGCAGATAGGACAATTGTCAAGGTGGGCATATGGGCCAGTATAGGCAAGGCACGTATTTGGGCACATGTCGTGGTTGATTGACTCAACACCGGCATATTTCAATATCAACTTTTCTACCGCATAGAAGCTCAGGATACCCTCATTCCCTTGAGCAAAGTTGCGCATCGTGGATCATTGTATTCGATTATAAGCATCCTGAGACACATGTTCAAGTGCTAAATACACCAAGATACTGTGATGGATACCAGGTTGATCAATGTTGACTGGACCTTGTGGTGGGTTGCGCAGCCTGTCGAGTGCATCATCCAACAGCTTAGAAATGGGGTCATCCAATGAAGCATTTTTCAAGAGGAGGATAAACTCCATGGCGTCCTTGATTTTGGGGAAAACTGCGCTCTGAGCGAGGTGCTCGACATCAACATTAGGCTTCCTCCTGTGTTCGAAGTTGATTTCATACTGATGAGCAAGGTTGTCTTAGGGGGGAAGGGGCTCGCGCTCATCTGGAATTGGTTGGTCGTCTGGAGCTGGGGGGAAGATGTGGTCATCTTCAATTGGTTGGTCATCTTGGGGGGGGAAGTGCTCTCGCTCATCTGGAATTGGTTGGTCGTCTGGAGCTGGGGGGAAGATGCAGTCATCTTCAATTGGTTGGTCATCTTGGGGGGGGAAGTGCTCGCGCTCGTCTGGAATTGGTTGGTCATTTGACTATCAAGTTAGTGGAATCAGTATCCTTTGAGGAGATTCAATGAATAGAATCATTCCTCACCTCAAAATCATCGCCCAAAGTTATTGTGTCTTCATCTACTTGCAGGCGGCCCATGTGCTCTTCAGCCTCAGGTAACAAGTCCAGCACTGTACTGCGTGTGCGCTTCCGATGTCGAACATGTTCAGCATCAGATATCTCTCGGGATCGCTTTGCGAGTTCCTGTGCTATTGCAGCACGACGAGTAGCAGAAGGAGCTGCTTCATTGGATCCATGATGCACAGCCTGCATTCTGGTTTTCTCTTCCATCATTTTTGCCTGTTGAAGGTGCTCATACCATGTTGTTCTCGAAATTGTGTGGGGCCGACCGAAATTGTGCTTGCTACAGACACATATGAATTTGGCTGCGCTAGTGGATTGCTCCGAACTCAAGCTTGACAGTAGCATATAGAATACTAGTAGTTTGACCTTAGATTTCAGAATCAACGCAAGTATAGCATAATACTACATACCTAGTGTGAGAGAGAAACACTTCGATGCAAGTAGTACAAGCAGACGACGTAATGTTACAATGTGAAATTTGCGTGTTTGGATGTAAAAATGTTGTGATGCATAGCATTCGTGCAGTCGCAACGTGTTGCACTCAAGGATTACTAATTTCGACGGAGAGAAGCACATTTCGACATAGTACTAATATGGTAAGTCACATTTCAACATATCCTGCCCTCTCCCGTCACAGCAGGTTTTGACTGGGACTCAGACATTGGCCATGATGATAAGCATGGTCACGGCGACAACTTACACAACGATCATGGTCATGATAACAGACAATTGTTAGACTTGCCGACAGTATGGAAAGCCAGAGCACCGTGCTCAAGCACTTCAAAGTTGTAAGGGCTCACGAGGAGATAACTCATCTCAACGTCGAGATTGCACGGCTCCATGCATGGATCGATCAAGAGGATGCTCATCTTTCGTCAGTTGCCACCTCACTTCTCGCATCCAATCCACTACTCAGTCAAGAAGTTCAACATCGATATGAAGAACGTCATCGGGTGAACAATGTTCACCGTGCAAGACTACAAGTCATTTATGACTTACCAGGTTACAGTGGGTCAATTCGCACAGTTGATGAAAGCAGCATTGTTTTGGGGCTTGGGGATCTTGACAGCAGTCTGACTATTTTTGTTGATGAGGATGATACATTATGTGATGAAGCAAACCATCTAGAGACATGTATGGCTGATTAGAAATAGTTACAATGCGATGTGATTATGTAGCAATTCAATTGATGGTGCAAGCAAATTCATAGCAATCGTGTGATACTGCCGCTTTCAAGTTGAAATGATGTCACGCAGTTGATTTTGCATTTTGCATAATATTACAGGTCGAAATACAGTTACACATTGCTTCTGATCATCCCACTGCATGGGTAGACAATTCACCAAGCCTGAGAATTGGCATTGTCACCACACAAATGATGGATGTTGAGCCAGAGAAGGAGCACTGGTGAAGTATCGCAAAGGAGTGGTATGCTCAAGACCTTGCAGATACCAAGCGTCAAATCATCTTCTGATCATCCTACTGCGCAGGTAGACAATTCACCGAGCCCGAGCATTGGTATTGTCACCATGCAAATGATGGATGTTGAGCCAGAGTGTTACAAGTAACATCGGTCACGTGGCCCCCCTATCATTTTCCCCTCATCCTCGCTCTCACCATCTACCGGCTCGTCCTCCTTTACCGACTTTCCGTTGACCGGATCCTCGGGACCGTTCCCGTCCCTCGCATCACCTGCCTCCTTGCACGTGCACGCACGTTCCTCTCCTGATTCAACCACCTATGTGGTCCCGCACCTCTGACTCGGTCTGACTCGTGCCACCAATGTGGCTTTCCTCTTTCTGTTTCCTT